CATGCCGCCTTCGTGGGCTTTCTCAGAGACACATAGGGATGTGCGGTCAGTCCACCCAGAAACTCAGCTCAAGAACAAATGTGTCTCCTCACACTGGGGCTCCCTGAGGGCAGGGCCGTGTCTCCCCTCAGACTGGGCCTCCATGAGGGCGGGGTTTTTCCCGCTCTCTGACAGCTTCTGACATTTTTAAGTCTCCCAGATGGGAAGAGTTGCCCTTAGGCTTTCTCCCTCATCACCAGCCAGGAGCTCTCATTTCAGCGCCCCCCACCACCACCCCAGTGCTTTCTCCCTTTGCTGGGGCCTTAGAGACTTGTGACCCCAGCACCAAGTCATGGGCATTCTGTTGCTGCCAATGAATGGCTCCTTGGGGGAGCGTGGAGAGGCACAGGGCCCTCAGCTCTGCTTCCCTGGTCTTGATTTGAGGAACAAAAGAAGCCAATTTCTAGGCTGCTGAGCGGTCAGCTGAAGGGTTTTATGTTCTTCTGGGGGAAAAATACATTTGTCTGTTGGAAAAAATTTCTCTTTGAGCTCTCCGAAGATAGACGATGGAGAAAAGCCCTCAGGGTCTGGTCTGTCTGTGCCCTTGTGGTTCGGGCCCTGCTTAAGGACCTGGGTTCCTGCCCCTCGGGTTCTTACTGGCTGTGCGCCTGTGGGTGAGGCCCTCACCTCCTCTGAGCCTCAGAGTCTGCAGTGGATCAGGTGAGGATCACGTAAGAGCCTTCCCAGGCTCCCATGTGATGTTGTTGCAGGGGAGGAGCGGAGGCCCTGAGACACGGTGTCCCGATGTGTGCGATCTGGGCTGCCATGGTTGGAAACAGTGCACGCGTGCGTGCGTGCGTGCGTGCATGTGTGTGTGTGTGTGCATGCTCACGTGGCTTGTTTAAACAGGGCTTCTGGGGCCCTGTCCAGACCTACAAAATCAGAATCTGGGAATGGGGCCCAAGAATCTGCCTTCTTACACGTGGGAGAAGGGGCAAGTCCCAAGAAGTCGAGAGGCCCATCGCTTATGGGGTGAAGCCACCATCCAAAGACCAGGAGGGCAGGCTCAGTGGGCCCTGAGGTGTCTGTCAGGACAGGTAGTTGGGGTGATGCACAGGTGGGGCAAGTGTGGACCAGGTGAGGGATCAGAGAGGGGTGTAGGGCGCAGGGACCTAGGCAGAGGGGCAGAGGGTCCTCAAGGAAGGGAGGCCGAGGGAGGCCTGGGGCTGGGGTGAGGGGACTGCTCTCAGCCAGTGGGGGCGTTCAACACACACTCTACCACAGGGTGCTGGGAGTGTGCATGGGCGGGGGGTGGGCTTCCTTGGAACGGTGGGGTAGAGGTGGCCGTGCCACCCATTCTGTCTCTCCTTTGTCACCAAGTGAGCCTGAGCACCCACCCCGGGGGCGACTGCTCTGCACAGCACTTGGCCCATGATGGCTGACCCACCTGACAAGCCTCACCGTGTCCAAGTGCTTTACAGGAGTCCTCAGGGAGCAACTGCTTTTAGCCCCACTTTACAGATGGGGAAACGGAGGCACAGGAAGGCCAGTAACTTGTCCAGATCTGGGATATGGAGCCAGCATATCTGACTTGTAGCTCATGCATTTAACCATTAGGCTCTGAAACTAAGAGGAAGTATCAGGGCTTGCCCTGACCATGACCAGGCGCCATGCCAGTGCAGAGACAAGGGCCTCGTTCACCCATTTGGCCATTGCTTTGGTCTGCCTTCACCCATCCAATTTGTCAGGCCCCTGCTCTGAGTCAGAGGCTGGCCTGGCCCAAGGCAGAGGCGGGGTCCTGTGTTGGAGGAGCACACGGCCAGTGGGAGAGACAGATGCACCCCTGCTTTTGCATCCCAGGGTATGCTGGGTATGACTCAGAGGGTTGTGCACTACAGGCCAGAGAGAGCTCAGGGGAGGGGAGAGGGAAGGGCTGTTGGTCAGTGTCTGTTGAGGAAAGGCAAAATCGAGGAGGAAGGATAGGAGTGGGTCTGGAAGGATGTAAGCATGATCTCAGCAGCATGGAGGGAAGACGGTTGGCATTGCCTTTGGGTGCGTGGCCAGGATGACGCATGCCCCAGGGTGCAGTGAGAGTCCTGAGGTCACTGGGCAGGAAGCCACCAAAGGTAGGTGTCTGGATTCTATTTCTTAGTCCAGCTGTGTGCCTCTTGCCCAGCTTGGAAGGTGGACAGAGCCGAGGAAAGCCTGACTGCTTCTTTGAACACAGACCCTCACTCGCAGGCTCTCTCCCTCCCTCCCTTTCCCCTACCCCCACCCCCACCCCCACCCTCTCCTCCCTCCCTCCCTCTCTCCCTCCCTCCCTCACACACACTCACACACACACCCCTAGGCTGCAAAGGCTGAAATCCAGGATCTTACCCTCTTTCTTACTAGCTTAGACAGGACTAACCCTGAGTTCCAGACCCAGACTTGGAAGGACTCCAGACCTTGGAGAAGTCACTTCCCTTCTCTCTGAGTCTTACGATCCTGATTTATAAAGGAATTGGAAAAAGTGACCTCTTAGGTCCCTTCCAACTTGGCCATTCTAGGATTTTAGGTAATTATCGAATTTCATTATAGCATTCAAAGAGAAACTTCAGCACTTGCTGTAACAGAGAAATTCTGCCCCAACCCCTTTCTTACTTTCTAGCTCCTCGCCGTGCCTCAGTTTCCACCACTGTAGTCATCTCTGGTGCAGAGGCGTTTTGTCCTTTGTTTAAATCAAGACAGATGCTCTGCCTCCAAACTTAGCTCACTGCAGGAGGGCAAAGTCAACTCAGGTGCGGGCCCACCTGCCTGGGAGTGGATGCACATGCATGAGGTGGTATCTTACCTGTAGCCCCTGCTGCCCGCTTTTCAGAGAGCTGCCTCACTTACCATTGCCCCTGGGGCTCTCTGCCCTGGGCTGGGAGGTTAGTCAGATGGTTCCCAAAGTGGCAGCAGGCTGGGAGCAGGGCTGCTGGAGGGGTGGTGGGAGCCACCAGCAGAGGAGCTGTGTGCCTGTGGGATGAGGGGAGCTAGCTGAGGGTGGCCACCTTCGGGAGAGGCCCCCGAATGAAGAGACTGGAGTGGGGGTGTGGGTCTGGGGATCTCTTTCTCAGAGACACCTCAGGGGATCTGCTTGAGGGCTGGCACTGGGTGCTTCCTGAACACAGCCTGGGGCCTCCCCAGGCAGTGGTGGGGGGCATGTGCTGGCCCCAGGTTGCTGCTGCATCTGTCTGTCTGTCAGCTGGGTCTGTCAGCTGGTCTTTGGCTTCCAAGTCAGGACAGAGGTTATGGGGGGACTGAGTTGAGTGTGGGGTCAAGTTGCCCAGACAAGCTGTCACTCCTGGTGGCTTTAGTGATGGTGACTTAGGGTAAGGCTTCCTTCTAGATCTTTCTCGCTCTACCACTACTTGCTGTGAGGAGTGGCCACTCTGGTGCCATGCTCCCTTCTCAGGAGAAGGTGGGGCACATGACCCCGACGGCCCATCCAGCTCTTACATGAGGACTTGGCTGTCAGGAAGCCACACAGACCCATGTGGACCATTTCTCCTCTCTGAGAAAGGGGTTCAAGGGGCACGAAAGCCCATGGAGGAATGTGGGAGTAGAGAGGGGAGAGGTAAGACAACCCCCAGGGGCACCTGGGAGGGAGGTGTGGCAAGGCTGAGGTGGCTGGCCAGAGCAGAGCTAAACTTGAGGGCAGTGAGGAAAGGGGGGCGGTGTGGAGCTCGAGTAGGCAGGAGCGGCTCGTAGGGAGCTCCTTCAGGGACAGGGTGTGTGGGGGAGGCTTTGCCCAGTCAGCACTGGTCTTCAGTGAGCAGGTTCCCTGGGGTTCTGTCCCACTGGGCCCCTCTGGGAGACTGGAGCATGACTCAGGGGGTGAGAGTGGGGAAGGGAGTGAGGAAGTGGTATTTTTCCCCCAGCTCCTGCCCATCATTGGCTGAGGGCTGCCCTCTGAGTGTAAACTGTAAACTACCTGCTATTCGCAGCCCGCCTGCCAGAGAAAGCCTTGGGAGGAGAAGCAGGAGGAAACCATGGGTGTATACAGGAATGGGGAGGGCTGAGGAGACATCACAGAGCCTTAACAGCCTTCACAGCTGGCGCTCTTGCTGTATTGTACAGATGAGGTAACAGAGGCTCAGAGAGCTTGAGTCACTTCCTGTGTTGCTTCCTGCCAGCAGCAGGTCACTGGAGAATGAGGGACAACAGCTGTGCAGGACAGACCCTTGCCTGATCTCCATGGGCCTCCGCTTCCACATCTGTAAGATGGGATGATGCCTCCGCAACACTGACCTTGTAGGACAGGGTGAGGACTGAGAGCTCATGTTTGCAGAACACCTGGCACAGTGCCCAATCCATGGCCGAGGTTCAAAGAGCAGGAGCTGTGATTGCACAGAGGCAAGGCAGCAGGGCTCACACCTGTTAAAGACCTGCAGTCCCCAAAGGTGGTGACCATCATCTTGCTGTATGCCTGCAAGTCTGATTTCCAGGGCCATGTGTTAGCTGTGGCCTTGACCACAGGAGGACCCTGTTCAAATGAGTCTGCATCCACTGGGAGGTGTAATCCATTAATCCAGCAGCACAGATGAGACACGGAATAAGCTGGCTGTGAGTAGAGCCGTGCCTGAGAGAATGGGACGCTGGATGGATACATTTTGATGGCTTGATTTTACTTTTCGAGAGACAGACATAGAGTAAAAGGAGAGTTTCTAGAACAGGTGAAGACATTGGGCAGATTGAGATTTGGCCCAAGAGTGAGGGGCTGGGGGATCCAGGGTACCGGAGTGAGTACAGCGATGGTGGGGGTGGTAGGTAGAGAGCCACACCCCTTAGGAAGCTGAGCTGAAGACCCTCCAGCAGCACCTGCCCTGTCGGCTTTAATGAGCAAAGTAAACAATGCAGAAGGAGCCTTCTGCTCTTCCTGTGTTGTCTGAGGCCAGGCTGGTGGCAGCAGCCCCCAGGTCTCAGTAATGGCCTGAGTCCTCCGAGGTCCTCCCCTCCTGGGCTCTGCTAATTCTTCCTCTCTCCCCTTCTTTCAGGAACCTTTTGGACAAAGACATGTTCTCCAAGTCCGACCCATGTAAGTCCTGCCCTGATAATAATAACCACATCGGGACTGATCGCCAACACTGGAGCCCCTACTGAGCATTCCATACGTGCACGGCACTGGCCCAGGTGCACCAAGGCTGTTTCACTAATACTGCTTGGAGAAAGAACCGGGGCTTCTGACCCTTCCCAGCCCCCATACCTGTGAAGCCTCAACGCCACCCAGTGGGTCGGGGGGGGGGGGGGGGTGGTCAGGAGGTCTGGACCTGGAGTTTTCAGCCCCAGGAACACTGGTGCATTTGAAAGCCCCAGTTGGCCGTGGTCTGGGGGAAGGAGCACTGATCTCGGATCCAGGGTTCTAGCCCACAGATATACCACTCAAGTATATAACCTCAAACAGGTCATTGGCCTCCTCTGAGCCTCAGCTGACCCATCAGTGAAAGGGGCTGATGATAGTAATATGTCTTCTGAGGCCGCCTTGAGCCCAAAAAGCATGAGTTGATTTTCAGATGCTCTCCGGTCCCACCTCTGCCTTCAAGTCACCCATCATGCCCACCCGTCTACCTGCCTCACACCTCTCCCTTGCCCAGGCCTAGATGCAAATGGCTCCTGACTCCCTTCCCAAAGAGTACTCCTCCCAGACACGCGGATATTCTAGACCCCATTCTCCAAGCTGATCAGTCCCCCGAGACCCAACACTGCTACCTGGGCCCGAGTCTCCTGAGGGTCCTCACCCTCCAGAGCCCCCCACCCTGGGGTACCACCTTCCTCTTGGCCTGTCTGGTGTGTTAACACGTTTTTCCTCCTCTCCTCACAGTATGTGTCATGTATACTCAAGGAATGGAGAACAAGCAGTGGAGGGAGGTAGGTCAGCCCCTTTCCCACCCCAGAAACGCCTGCCCCTGACTGTAGTCGCTTATTCATCTAACTCAGGAGACATCCCACCTGATGTTTGTAACTATAGCATCTGGGCCCAAGGGAAGGATGGTAGGGTGTGCACAGGGTGGGGTCTTGTCCTCCTGCTGCAGGACAAAACTGATGGTGGGCTGGAAACTTCCTGTCCTCAGGGAGCCCCAGTCTGGGGGAGACCGAAGAAGCACTGGCCCACCAGATCGCCACGGCCTGAGAAACACGGGCACCACATGTCGCACCTTGTCTGGCTCACAGCGGCCACCCTGTGGTTCTGACTAATGTGAACATTCAGTTAGGTGAACCCCCTGCCCAGAAACCTTCAGTGACTCTTCTCTGCTTTGAACCAGTCCCAGCTCCTTAGCTTGGCTTCCAAGCTCTGCCAAGAACCTGGGGAGCCCCTTCCAGACGGCATGATCAGAATGAGAGCAGCTGAGGAAGCTTCAGTAACTCGGGCTTCATCGCTGCCCATCATCGTCCTCACGGGAGAACTGGCCAGAGCCTCTCTGGCCCTGCTCCTTGTTCCCTCAAGATGTGGCCCCAGAGCAAGCGGCCAAAGGGGGTGAATTTTATCCAAAAAATACATAGGAAATACTTGCTCAGGGGCTGGGCTAAAGTTTACTTTTTCACTCTCCAAGACTCTACACCAATTGAAGCATAAACCAGATTGCAGGGGAAACATTTAACCTACTTAAATGAACTAATTACTTTTGAGGCCTTTGGCCAAGCTTCATAGAAAGCAGGAATGTGCTAATGCCTTAGTGATTCATTCAGGAAAGTGTGGAGAGGCCTCTTCAGAAGGGCACTGTTCCACTGGTGGCTGCATTCTGTAACTGAGACTTGTTTCCACTGGGGTCGGGGTCCGGATTGTTACCACCGCACCAGCAGCGTGGGGCAGGGGCAAGCGGGGGAGACCTCGCTGTCAGACACACCTGTGCTTCAGTTCTGGCTCAAGCTCTCTCTGGAGGTGGTACTCAAGCAAGTTGCTTGACCAGTCTGTGCCTCAGTTTCCACATACACTATATGGGGATAATACCTACCTTGCAGGCCTGTGGTGAGTGTAACGTGCCTGGTACGTGGTCATTGCTCAGTAAATATCATTGCACGGCATCATCCTGAGTGTTCAGGGCCCTGCTGGGTACAACCCTGTTTCAGTCAATATTTGCAATAGGAAGCATTTATGGGGTGCTGGGCAACAAGCCAGGTGAGGGTGCTGGGGAGAGAGGGAGCTGGTCCGAAGAACAATGCCAGCTGGAACTGGGGAGTGTGCAGCCTGGAAGCGGAGACTCACATGCATAAATAATCCTCACAGGAAACGGTGAGAGGCGTCCTTGAGAAGAGAATGGGAGTTCAGAGGAGAGAAAGTTACCGCCATGTTCATAGCTCACTGGATTTTTAAACATGGAATTTGACTGAACACAAGCCGTCTGGCTAAGGGCTGCGTGCCGTGGGAAAGAGGAGGATGTGGGTCCAAGGGGACTCCACGGGTCGCCCGATTCAATCTCCTCATTTGAAGAGGGGACAGGACAGGCTTCAGGCGGCTGAATCAGTGTGCTGGAGCCCAGTGCAGCGGGAATGTCCACCTCAGGGGACACAGCACAGGGCCCAGCAGCAGGGATTGTGGCATAAGCAAAGTATGGGGGAGGCTGGGATCAGCAGGTCAGGCCAGGTCCCAGGTAGCTGGAGGATGGATGCAATAAAGGGCTGTTTATAAAGGAGTGGGCAGGTTTTAGGGAGACCAGTGAGGGGTGAGGAATCATAAGGCTGGCAACAGTGGGAAGCCCGAAGGGGTAAAGGGGCTTCCAGACAGGAGCAGAGACCCTCAGTGGAGGGACACTGTTAGCCCGGGCAGTCTCACTTTCTTCCCACCCTCTGCTTTCTGCCAGCAGTTCCCATTGGTGGAACCCACTGGAAGACCTGGGGGTCGAGGGGAGCTTTGATGCAGTCTATGTGAGTCAGCCTCCCGGGCACAGAGCAGAGTGGAGAATCCAAGGGGCAAACGGGGACACCAGAACAGACAGCGAGCAGATGAGTGAGGGTGGCATTCAGAGTGTGGGCTGATAAAATGCAGGAGGAGGCAACTGAATGGGGCTGAGGACAGGTGGGGTCGTTAGGCTGAGGACAGGTGGGGTCGTGGGTCCAGAATCCAGAGCAAGGGGGGCTCTAGAGATCAAGGAGGCCGACTTCATTTCCAGAAGGCAGTGAGCACCATGCCTAGCCTTCGGGGGTGACAGTGGCAGAACTCAGCCACGTGTATTGTTGGGGAGCAGGAGAATCTCCCCCATCCACACCGCCCTTCTTGAGTTCTTAGACCAATAATACAATTGACACCAGCTTAACAGGAGAAAAACCAACATGATATGCGTGCATGGGAGATCATAAATGATGATGCTCTCCGAAATGATGATGCTCTCTGAAATGATGCACCAGCCATCTTTTTTATACTTTGTAGGCAAAGAAACAATAGATTTGGGAAGAAATAACAGGACAAAGACACTGAAGTTTGGGTGCTCATCACTGAGGAATGCAAACCAAGTTTGGGCTTGGGGAGTAGATTAGGAAAGGAGTGACAAGCTTTGCTTGGGCCAGCTTTTTTGGCCCTGGATCCTTGACTCTAGAGATAGGATGTTGCTCTTAGCCCCCAGCAGCCAGGAGGACACTTTCACAGCAGAGACTTATGCCCCGTATTCGGCACAACAAGGACGGGTCAGTGTGCCCCTCTTGCACCGGCTGCCTGTCGGGTAACTGATTCCAAGTGATCAATATGTCACTGTGGGCGGGGCATGTGGGGGCCACCTGCCCAGGGCCCCGGCAGCAGCCCTAGAGCACAGGCTTTGAGCTATTTTGGAGAAGAGAAGATGCACTTGGACATACCGAGGTCCTCCTTCTATGCCTGATTCTGTGTGTGACGCCCAGAGCAAAGTATTAGGAATAGAGAATTTACAGAAAAACCCAGGTGCCTCTCTATGGAACTGGCCCTGGGGTGGAAGACTGCCTTCGAGAGTGAGCAGACCCGTTACTACCACTCCGCTTGCTGGCTCATTGCAAAACATCTGTTACTGGGTGTTGCCTCCCTGTGATCAGAGGGAGTCAAGTTCAGGCCCTCTAGTTCCTCTAAGTCGATGTTCCTCTAGGCAGGGCCCAGACCCCAGGTTTGCACAAGGCGGCAGAGGATGAACTTGCAGCCCCTGGCTGCTGGGTTTCAGCTGATTTTAACTGTTTAGGTCATTTTAATGCCTTCCAAGAAAGCTCCATCATCCTGGCACCTAGATGTGTCACTGCCTTTTATGAAAATTGACTTGAGATGTGATTTTAACCCAGGAAATCGAGCACTATTTGCATCAAGTCTTGCCAGAGCCTTCTGCACGTCCCGAGGGAAGGAAGGATGACCAGGTTGGAAGGGTCCCAGAAACACTCTTAGCAGGAAGAGGGACATAATAGGGAGTGCCTCTTGGTTTCCCATTTAAAAGTGTGTGTGTTGGGGGGTGTGGTGCTGGTCCTGGCCCTTCCCTTGCCAGGTGGCTGTCCTGGCTAAGGCCCCTTAGTAAGGAGGAGAGGGTTATCCCAAATCTTAGGGTATCCCTCTGATAGACCCATGCCACTGGCAGGGTATGTGGCCCCCACAGGCACGCCCACACGTCCCTGCCAAAGCGCTCAGTCTACTTCTGAGCAAGTTCAGCCTATTGAACATTTTAACACCAACTGGGGATGACGGTTCATCGCCTCACATTTGGAATGACATTATCAGAGCCCCTTGACGTGTGCCTTCACATAACGTTGACTCAATGAGCATGTGACAGGGAGAATGCCGGGGACATGAGGGGGACCAGGCACTGTGTACAACCAGCAGAGCTCACTTTCAGTTCAGGGCGGTGACAATAACAGCCACATGATGCTGATGGCCTGCACCCGTATGACAGTAATGAGCCAGGCTCTGTTCTGAGCATTTAATCCTTACAACAACCTATGATGGAAGTATTATTATTATTCATTTTATTATTATCTGTCCCACTTCACGGAGGAGGAAACTGAAGCACAGAGAGGTTAATGGGAAAATGGTTTTAAAGTCTGACATAAAAACTGTAGCAATTCTATATAAATGGCAAACTTCCACTTGTTCTGAGTTCTACCCTCCGTAGATGTACAAAGTAAGCTGATTTTCTCTTCCCCACGGTCTTTTCCTCATTATCTGAAGTCTGCTCACAGGGCCCTGTTAGCCTGCTTTGGGGCAGACTTCAGAGTGTGACTGTTTCTATCAGTAGTTTCTGTCTGTGTCACCGCCTCTCGTCCCTTATCGAGCCATGCGTGTTCCGCCCCTGGAACACGCGTCCACTCTTCCTCGTTCTTTCCCAGGTGTGTGTCCTGTGCCGTCCACTGGCCCAGCCCAGAGCATCAGGAGCTGGTGGCCTCTGCACAGGGGCTTGAACTACACAATCACGCCCCTCCCCAGGTCTCCGAGTTCTGTGGGTGTGTTTCTCAGGGTTATGCGCCCGTCCATGCTGTCTGGTGTCCACTGGCCTTTGTGACACCTGTCTTCAACCTTCTTCACATCGAGCTTGGGGGCTCCTGTGTGTTTCTCACATGAGCTGCTGTTCACAAGGGATTCCCTCGGCTCAGACTTGAAAATTGAGTTTTTGAGTCTAAATGTGATTTTATGTTTATCTCTATTGTGGGTCATTTGGTAGAATCAGTCTGTTGTATGGTCTGTGAAGATCACGTTGAATCATGATTGGATTCAGTGTCCTGGTTCTGTCTCCTGGTCCTGTCGTCGTCGCCCACGTGAATGATGGATGGCTGAGTGGGCTGGAGTGCCGGGTCCTCCAGCAGAGTCCTTTGCCCGGACAGACCTCAGTTCTCCAGTTGACTTTTGGGGTGTGCTGTTCAGCCACCTAGGATCCACAAAAGTTGTTATAACCCACACTATATTTCTCTACCTGGTCCCTAAGGACACCATG